TAGAGGGATAGATATTATTGATATCACCTGGAAATCTCACAAAACCACATACATGCGTCACTTGTACGCATAAATGACGACAAACTAGAATTACCACCTTGCAGCTGGATGCCTCTGTCATGTTGCAGTTTACATCTACGTCTGTCCAGATTCATGTAACATACGAATTTAATTTAATTAAAAGATACTAAGTGTTTTTAATTTTAAGAAGTGCAGAAGTTCTTGAGTAATGGCCAAAAACGTGTTTTGTGAGGTCACAGCGGCCTTGACCTTTGACCACCAAAATCTAATCAGTTTATTCTTTAGTCCATGTGAACGTTTGTGTTGTGCCAAATTTGAAGAAATTCCCTCCCTTCCTGAGATATCGTGTTCACGTGTAGGGGACGTATGGACGTATGGACAGACAAATGAACAACCTAAAAACAATGCATCCAGCCACAGCTATCGCCAGTGCGGAAGCATAAAAACTGCACACAACACACAAATACAGCATGCATACACACAAGATAATGCTTTTTTGTAATAAGAGTACTTTTGCAAGAAAAAAAATCAAAAGATAGCAGTTTATGTATTTTATTCTGCAACGTTGCTTCTTATGGGGTTTCTTTCTACACAGAAAATTTAAAAAGCTGGATATGTGGTTTTTGTTTGTGCATGCTACGCAACTGGCAGAAAAAATCCATAGGGTGTGTAGACGGACTACAGCCAGCTTGTAAAAGTTTACAGACTCCAACCCTCACTTTAAACAGAAACACCACTCAGCCTATACAAATTACAGTGTATAGACAGCATCAGTGAATGTCAAAGAAGGCATGTTGAAGTGCAGCACCCCTGACATACTTGAGGCATGAAATTCCATCTTGTTGGGCCGTTCTACCACATATAAGCGACGCAATATCCATCACTTTGAAACCCATTCTTTTGACCCAACAGACACTTCTCTTTGGTTCGTGCTGGGAAACTAGTCAGTCAAGTACGAGTGTAATGTAAGCAAATCTGATCACATACCACAAATCACAACAATCTGTTCGATACAAAGAATGGGTGTTACACAAACACGCTGATACACAAACCTAGATCATGTAAGCATGCTAATTTAACTGTCACTATTTATCAAAAATGTTTGATGCTGGTCAAGTATACAATGCGACATCACTCTGACTCCAGTCTTCTACTTTCATTTCTAAAGTTCCTGCTTTATCACAGTTTCACCAGGTGCCACTATGGTACCTGCGCTGGAAACACAATACATCACAATGTGGTTGTGTGACCTTGCAAGCACACCACAATCTGTTTGGTATCAGTCAACACCCCCATCAACATGACGCTCATCATCATTATCAGACAGCAGGCTTTTGAAACAGCGTCTTGAAACACTTTCTGAGGTTTGTTTCTATCTAAACTCATTCTCCCATGGACAAAGACCCTCCCACACACACTGTGGAACACACACACATACCTCAGAAACCACAGCTCTCTCAACTGTGGGGGTACTGGGAAGCAAGTGAGAAGCATTTAGGGGTCTGGGGTATGAACTCATAGCCCCCCATTTCAAATTACGTGACATGCTAGAGTTGTATATAAATTCTGCTACGTTATGTCTAAGCATCAGTCTTATGAAATTCACCCAAATAGGTCAAAGGGTTTTAAACTGACTGTGAAAATTGGAAGATTAATTGAATATTAGTGAATTGTAATTGTAGGATGAGATCATTTCTTTTCAGTTTTGCACATTTTTGTAAATATAAAAAAAATGACTACACCAGTTTAAAAGTAGTAGTAATAGAAGTTTGTCACTTACTAATGCTACAAAATCCTGGGCAACAAAGGCAACGCAGAGATGAGTTGAGCAAACTGCAATTATCATAACCGAGTGTAAAAAGCATGGTTGCCATTCAGGACAAACACAAGCCAAAATATGGTCTGCCTCGAGACAGTGGTTCCCAACCTTTTTGGCTTGTGTGAGAAATTAACCACAGACCTTAATGTGTTGTGGAAAAGTAGTGCTGACTTTGTATTTCCAGGGAGAAGTTGAGGAATTTCCTATTGATTGAGTGTATCACGAGCATTTCTGGAACCAGCATCCTGAGGCCTTTGGTTGAAAAGCAGCCTAAAGCACCTCTACAAATACTGCACATACTTTCCTGGAAGTGTACAGTACGTCCATTTTGGCACCCATTTATAAATGCCAGATAAAAAATTTTTTGATTCAGTATGGAAAAATGTGAGATTTCGATTTACGTTGCCGTGCTGGTTGTTAAGGCTTCTAAGCCTTGACGTCCAGCGCTGAAGTTATCTAAACACGCCATCTCCGTCTCTATGGCTTTGATCCTGTCAGAAATCTGTCAAACACATTTACGGTCACAGTTAATGTGTTGCAGGCCAGACAACAAATTCGTTCGGAGGTGAGTATGAAGGTCAATGTAGATTCAGAGACCAGATCTGACACAGAACTGGTTCTGCTCTGGACCAAACCTGGTCTGGACTTTTCATATTATAAAGTGAGAATTAATCGTAAAATGCAGTTGGTTCAACTAGATAGAGAGGAGTTGAATACAGGCAATGCTGGACAGGTGCTCTCTGTAGTAGTGTTTGTATTAAATAAATTCAGAATTTTTTGGGTGAATGCACCTTCAGTTTGTTTACAGATTATTTAACCTCTTTGGACCATGGTTGATTGTCACATTTCTTTGAAGTCCATTTCCAGTGCCCCTTTAATAGCTGACAAATGCTAACTTGACATTCAGCCTAATCTGACCTACCTTTGTAGCTGTGTATGTAATTGTGATGGACTTAACTTCAAAGTCTTTTTCAATGCGCTCTTTACATTGTTTTGTCTGTATGTTGACATGGCTTCAGGCAGTTGTACTGAGCTACAAAGGCCAAACAAAAACCCAGTCTTTGGATAATGATGTAATCTTAATTTCAAGGACAAGACGCTTTTTGTCTTCCTGATCTTAATGCAGACAGAGGCGAATTCGAGAACCATGCTAACACAATGAATCCTTAACCAGACTTCCCCCTCAGGCGTGTTACATTCAACACAATGTGTTACTGAAGACTTTTCCCACACATCTATTATTCTAAAGGCACAGCAGCATTTGATCACCACAACTGAGCGCTTAAGTTTTACTGCACATATTGAACACAGGTGCATTTAGTGAGACAATAGTTGTGTTGTGCCAGAATATGTTTTATGAGATCAAAAAATGCCTTATAGACATACAAAAAAAAAAAAAAAACATAACTCAAGCATGGGATTGTGTGCATATGTCTAGAGAGCTACATAAAATTAAATGCATTCATTCATAATTTAGAAATTACATCAGTACATTTTTTTTTTTTGCTCATTGCTGGAATGCTTTGCTCTCCTTTACGTAAATCTGCAGGTATTCATGTGTGTCACTTGTGCACATGCAAACACAGTCACACTCATTCAACAAATAAATGATCCTACAACATATGTTCTTAGGTTACTTTTTGAGATGTCCCACTGAAATATCGTCCTTGTGGCTACAATGTGATGAGGATGTAAGGTGTAAGTAGTGTGTGTGTGTGTGTGTGTGTGTGTGTGTGTGTGTGTGTGTGTGTGTGTGTGTGTGTGTGTGTGTGTGTGTGTGTGTGTGTGCGCGCTTGTGATGCAAAGAGGCTTCAACACGTGGGAGTGGTGAATCTCCAGCTGCTCCCAATTCTCCCTCATGGGTCTTTTCTGGCAAAGGGTGTAGACCGCATGCTAATGTGTACAGCCTCTAAGTTGTGTGTGTGTGTTTTTATCTTGTCAGTATCAGTGTGCCCTCGCTCTGCATCAGTGTGTGTGTGTGTGTGTGTGTGTGTGTGTGTGTGAGACATCTGCAGGAAATGAGAGCCATCCTCCTATAGCTGATGAAGACAAAGGGACTGACAGACCCCATTGGCCAAATGAAGCCAAAATGTTGGAGAAAATCCAAACTCTTAAAACTTTGTGCCCTTTTTCCTAAATGGGTGACAATGATAGATCGCTCTGAACCGACACAGTGTCTTGTAAGTAATCTGGAGCCGAGGGAAAACAAAGAAAAAGGGAAAAGTCATGCTTCAAAGACAAATAGTTAGGTCATATGGCAACAATATAGCACAAACAGTAATGCGCAAACAATCCATGTGCATGGCAGTGTTTAATATATGGAGACTTTGCCTAAACAAGACCCTAAAACCACACAGAACTGCACTAGCAACGAATCCTGAATCAATGTGGTTTGAGCTGGGAACCCTACAAGATTTTCCAATGCAGATTTGTGGGAGACCCCACACGTAACAAGTGTTTTCCCAGTGTTCTCTCAACAAAGCCCACACATTACATGATAAAGTGAACAACCTCGACCTGAGCTCTTACTCCAGCTCACATTATCTGGAAAGATTTATACAAGCTGCTTTTCCAGTGTACACAGAGGAAATGCAACAAGACAGATTTGCAAAGCTCTGCGTGAAACTGAGGCGGAGTAGAGCTTGTACCATTATGAAGAGCAAACTGGACATGAAGCGCGTTTAGATAAACAGGCACGGTTCATGAAAAATAGACAAGTGAACCAGACAACATGAATCAGTACAATGGTCTTTCTGAATTGTGCTTCTCCAGCTTGTCTATTGCAGTAAGGAGCAGGTTAAGATTTGGGTCTATCTTATCCTATCAACTATGTTTGAGATTTAATCATGTTTTACGCACAAGAAACATGCAGATTATTTCAAACACGTTGACTCGGGCAAAAAGTATGACAAAACAAAACAGTCAGGTAACTCCATCCTCTATTATTTGGGAATATTACTGAGTGGTGGGGGAGACTGAACTGGCCCCGTTGGGTAGGCTTTATCAAAGCAGCAGGATTATTTCACGCCGAAAGGATGAGGACTGCGCCACTGCAAAAGGAAAACCTTTGTCTCCCTCTAGTGGTTGACTACTCCAATTGACATTGCCCTTACACACTGTATATTAATCTATGGAAAGATGTCGTATGCATGAAAAAACTGTATATAGCCTTCTAGGACAAAGCGGTCACTCTGGTCTATATAAATGAACTGACTCAACTCGAGATAATGCCCATAATGATCATCATCTCATCAACTGAAGAGCGCCAAACAACAATCACTGGATCGTAGCTGCCTGTCTAAAACAACTCCAAATATTTCTCTTTCATTTACACAATGCAATTTCTTAATGCAACAATATTCATCGTTTATTTATGAGGTTCATATCAATATTTTGAATAGCACAATCAGTAGTTGGAGCACATGCCAGTGTTATATCATTAACTCATCATCAACCATCTACATACATTAACAACTTTCATTGAGATGTCAATCAGGAAAAAAAACAAATCCTACGAGGACCTTCACAAAGAACTGAGTCATGGCAACTGCGACATGTTCTTGAAAGGGATTAAGATGAAAAAATGTCCAACACATATTTCACTTTTTGGTCTAGGACAGAAACATCTACATCCAGAGAGTAAATATTACTATTTTATATTCCACAACAGACAATCTGAGACCTTTCACCTCTACAGTATAGTGGCAACAAGGCTACTCATTGTTCCATATGTAATAGCTTTGGCAAAAGGAATGAAGAGATAGATTGGGCAGTGAAAACAATATAGTCCCTGCTTTCTTTGGCTAACAGAAAGGTCAACTTCTTCACTGCAGGGAATGAAACCTCAGTGTGTTGAGGAAAGTGTAGAAATAAATCTTATATTCACAGAGAGTGAAATCTGTTCATGTTAAAATTACCATATGAAATGCATACATTAGCATCACACATCAAGATAAATATCTCCTTTTTATATATCATAAATTCAGAATTTCATAATATGGTATCAGAACGAATGTGCAGCACATGGTAATAATACAGCACTTAGTAGAGTATATGCTCATTGACAGCCACTAGGTGGAGTCAAAAATTCAGGAATCTAGAAACCAAAAGGACTTTCAGTTTTGTTATTGAGCTGTCTGGAAATGTCCTAATGTTCATAGCCATTCACCTAAATATTACCAGTATTGATCAGTTAATCTCAACCACAATACAGTTCAAAGTTTAGTGCTATTGTCAGTAATACAGACATAACTACAAAAATAAAGATAGTAAACTATATTTCCTTTGCTGCTGTTTATCACAGTGTATTACCAGCTCTCTTTAAAGATTCCAGGTGCAGAATTAATACATAATCATTTATCAGCAGAATTGTGAAAGAGGCACATTGTGTTTACAAAATATACAACTGTAAGTTACCTATGATCATTCAACAGTGACACCAGTGTACATGGTGCTCTCACTCAGCTTACTTAAGCACTGGAATGGCCAGAAAACCCTATTATATAATTCTGCATAGTGAAAACATGATAAATCAATTTGCATCATCATTAGTTGAGTAGAATGCAATATGAGTAAGGACTGCCCTTTCTTCAGTCCTGCTCAAACGAAAGCATGCATCTCAACCAAGGCAACGATGCAACCAGACATGATGCTCCAGGAAGCCTAGATCTCCGTCAGGTATCAGGAATGTATAAGCCTGGATTGAAGAACATTATAACTTCAGTCTAATACTGTACAGAAGGAACCAAAGATCAGCCTGGCTGTTCAATGGCACAATAAGTTTCTGACTGCAATGTAGGTGACCTGAAACATGTCTGAGCATTTGGCTTAGATCACCAGGTCAGAGTTCAAAAATCAGAGGTTGAAGTTAGGTTTCAGTAGGTCATTGCTCCAACTGCCTGTTGAAGGTGGTGTGTTGGGGGCCAGGTCTGCTCAGTAAGGGTCCATCTTGATCCTTCTGTATAAACAGCAGGTGAACACCATCCCACAGATCTGAAAACAGGAAGTGTTAAGTCAGGAGTGCTGCTCAGTCACCATGGAGGACTGCAGGAAGCTTGAATTGATAGAGAGGGGTTAAGGGTGATGGGGTTAGAGACTGCTGGAAAGTATGTAGGTGGTTACTATGGGGATGTCAGGACTCAAGCAGCCATTATTGCAGCAACACGTGTGCACAAGCTTGTCCAAGCAAATTTAAAATAAAGCACTTCGGCTGGGGTCAAAAAGCAGATTCATTTATAAACATTCATCTAAGTATTCCTTTTTAAAACTAAATCCAAATAATCTGTTGACAATACTGTAATACATGAATACTACTGAAATTAGGGATTAGAGTGAATACCTGATTACATCATTTTGAAAAATTTGGATTGCAGGACTGTGGAATCAAAAAGGGTTCCAACCATGTAACTCCATACTTCAGTTGGTGCCAATGTAAAAAAAGTACATTCTAAAAAATTTTAAGAAAAACTGCTTTTAACACCTCAATGGTATTCCAACATGTGGTCCCATTAAACAAAACTGTAGGGCACTAAAGTAAGCACATGGATGCATGTAAAACCTTACAGAATCTGTGAGACACAATTGACAGAAGCACTAAACTATACGCTACGAAAGAAAAGGTCCAAAAATGAAGGAAGAACAGTAGGAACAAATATTGACCTAAGCCACTGGGCCTGCTGGGCTTGACGGATAAACAGTCAAGTGCCCAGATTCAGTCTTTGAGTCTCTAAAAGCCCTCTGAGAAAGCCTTATCGAGCTAGTCAGCATTGTATATTGACTCATCACAATCTCTCTTCAGGCAACTCTGTTTTTTTCCCCTTCTCCTCCAGTGATGGATACGTAGGAGCAGAGGAAGACTGACATTTTGGCTCTGAGGATGCTGACATGAGAACAAAAAGTGACAAAAACAGCCTCCCTGCTTTTTGTTTTTTTGAAGCCTAATTTGAGAAGACTGAGGTAACTGATACTTGAGCAATGAACAAGGATGGAATAATGTAAAGAAATATATTTCATTATGTGGCCAAAAAAAAACTCTGGGTATTCTATTTTTAGATTGCAAATAACTATAGCAACACCACCAATGATTTAGAAATGTAATGTTAAGTGTGGTGCATAGAGGTAGGCTGCTTTGTAGTGCTGCTACCAAATGACACCAAATATCAGAAGAAGACAGAACTCTCAATCTATACACCTAGTTACCACCTTACTAAAAAAATGTATTGAAGCCTGATGATAAGAGTTGAATTTAAAGTCAATCTGCCATTAGGAATATATCACAAAACCTTTGTATATTCTGTAAATACATGCGTCACCGTGTTTTTCTTTTCTTGTTGCTAACCACATCATTGACGAGATGCAGTTTAATTTTGATTAATCAAGACATTCTGATGATGTTTGTTGTTGATGTTTGACCTTTCTCAAGTCATTATGTACTTATCAGCCATATCAGCCCATTATCACAACATGCAGAGCAACAATCTGCAATTTACAGCCAAAGCCAGGCAGCTGCATGCTTCACACTCAGCAAAGATCATGAAAGAACATAAATGTTCATTTAGTATACATGTAGCCCACAGATTTCACATGGAACACACAGCAGACAGTCACACAAGGACAAACATGCAGAAAGATACCAAATTTCCACAATGCCCTCCAACCTTGTCTCTTCAGTTGATTAAACCACAAAAGATGCTCTAGAGCTAAATCACAATGTACCGAAGTCCTCTTCCTCTTCTTTATAGAGCATATAGATAAAGCAGGCTGTCAAGGCTGCCCCAGCCAGCTACAGTGACAGCACACACACACACACACAACACACAACACACAACACACACACAACACAACACAACACAACACAACACACACACACACACACACACACACACACACACACACACACACACACACACACACACACAAAAAGACATACAGTACAACGTACCAAAGACAGGTTAATGTGGTACAAAAAACATAAATGTAAAAGAGATTAAAACTACAACTACTTTGATTTAACATGGATCTCAACAAATCTACTTTGGTTCAGTGAGTGAAAAAGTTACTAGAGACAGGACAGTATATCAAGATTAAGACAGACTGGTTCAGTTGACAAAGACAAGACATACAGCAACCCTCCAGTACAGAAGGAAAACAAACATGGCGGACTGAAAAATGTTAAATCACACTTAATCAAAGTGGATTTTTTATGCATTTCTCTAGGTATGGTTTATATATTCAGCACCCCATTTACATGTGTATTATCCCTTCAGGCAATTTGAGGATGAGAAAAAAATATTCATACATTACTGATACAGGTAATGGAAAGCTGTATTCCTTAATTCCCTTGTCAACAATCTTAAGCATCACAGAGATCACATGAATAGTGATATTTTTATGTTGTTGCAAGCCCTGATTATTACAGCACAGAAATCCCGGCCTTCTGTCGGCAGGACATATGGTTTTATTCTCAATTCCCTTGTCTGCGTGGAAAATGGTGGGCATAAAGGGAATATCAGTCTGACAAGAACCAGTGGAAAAAATTGGTCTCAGGTTTCCCTCAAGTTAATTTACAAAGAGGTGGCACAGCTTTAGAGGGCTTTCAGGCAGCACAAAATTGTAAAAAAAAGCACCCCTGTATGCCTCCTTAGGCTGTAAGGCTTAAAAGCCCCTCCACATGAATCTGGGACAAATCAAATAACAGGAATGAATAAAATTAGATAATGGTGACTGAGAGACTAGGTTGAGATGAAAAGAACTGTCCATTTAGCCGTTGTTGACCTGCGATGGTACATTTTCAAAAAAGGAAAGACAGAAACCCATCTGTCTGGGTTTTGTAAGGTTTCACTCAACAAAAGTAAAGGCACTGTCTCGTTTTTTGATAAAATAATAATTGGGCTTAGATGAAAACAGCAGAATTGTATTCTGCTCCTGCAAACACCATCTGAACTACATATCATATCTTACTTACCTGCAGACAGGCTACTCCTATTCCCACAGCACCAATGACCAACAGGTGGTCTGCCAGAAACTGCTCCAGCTTAGTGATGCATCCACCCTGCAGAGTCAAAGGATGACAGTTACAAATCCTAACGGACAATAAACACACCCTTGAGCAATCAAGACATGCTTCAGGGAACACGTGGGTTTAGCAGTTTATTTATCTAAAGTACATTTTCAGACCACTTTACCTATTTTTTTAATACTATTTCAGGGGAAGTGCACAAACATAGTAGATGACACAGATAAACAGTAATGTCTAAAAGTGACAAAAGTAGACATTTTTTCATCTCAGACCTATGATACAAACACTACATGGTTATAGTCATTATCCACAGCATGTGTTTAATTCTGAGGGTTCATACTTTTGCACATGATGCAGGTAGTGTACTGTAAGTGATAAGAGGGGGAACTGAAGTGTTTGACACAAGAAGGTGAAAAAACTTCACATGTGCAGCATGGATAAGCACTCAAAATGTTTAGTCCACTGACCTCCACCTTGTAGATGTTGGAGGGGTGATCTCTCTTGCCGCAGTGAGGGGTGATGGTTTTACAGCAGCTGTCAGGCACAATTCTGTCTTCTGCCTGCTTTGACGAGATGTACACACTCACTATCCAATCATGGGAGTTGTTGCTGCCACAGCACTTGAACTGCAAAATCAGAAAGAAGAGAGTGAAGTGTTTGGTTTCATTATGTCACACAGTGTAAGGGAAGCATAAATCCCTCCCTCCCCTTCTTTTCGTCATTTAACTCTAATTAATTCTATAACTCTATTAATCTATTTGGCTCAAATCCCTTCCTTTCTCAAATCAGTATTCTGTAAACTTGGGACAATTCCTGCAACTATAGAAAATGATGCTGCCTTCCTTACAGGCACTTAGACAAAATTACTGTAGCTCTGGCTATTTCACTAGACATTTCTGGAACAATACTTTGCGCAAACCTCACTGGATAACATAGAGCTACTAGCAATTCCTTCTACTGGGTATAAACATACTTTAAAACTCCTTCACATATGGTAGCTGCCAAATGAGTCATGGAAAATAAATTTATAACAAAGCCTGGTGATACCTGACAATGCTTTCTGAAGAAAAGTGCATCTTATAATCTTATATAAACTAAACCTCAGAGGCCTTTGCAAACATAGTACATACATCCTGTTGTAGTCTGTCCACAGCTAATGTGATGTCCTCCTTCCCGGGCTGGGCATAGTTCTCTGTCATAGTTTGGTTGAGATGCTGCTTCAGCTCCTCACTCAGCTGAAAATGAGGAACACAGAGATAGACAGTACAGACTGAAAGTGAGAGACTGTATGTACATCCGCAAGGGAGTATAATTGAGACCTCACACACACACTAACAGCTGCAGACACCACGGACGCATAGTTATTATACTTCTGGAGGAGCACATGCATAGTTGGTGCCCTTGCAGCAGTGGCCTCAAAGACAGTCTGGGCAGTTACAACAAATTGGGTACACGGACATCTGCGCATTCTCCAATTATAACATTTACATTATGCAGACCTTTGCGGACCCTCGCATACTTGCAAATGGGGAAAGTATAACACAAGCTTGAGAAGGGGGGGGCGGACATGTAGACAATTATGTAGGAGCAATGACTAAGGTGTGACAGTGCTGAGGTGATAGACAGTGGTGGTGATGATAGACAGGTAGCAACTCCCAGGCCTCTGCAAGTACTGTGATTGAAAAGACAGAGGAACAACTCACTGCAAAAAATAGACTTTAAATACAGCCTTTGATGAGTGCATATGTTGATGTGCATCCACATACACACACACACACACACACACACACACACACACACACACACACACACACACAGGAGAGTGAAAAAGAAACGGAGAGAGGATGAGAGCCCTTATCTTAAAGTGATTCTACCCTGTGCTGAACCCTTTTCCATTATAATAAATCTCTGAGCTTGCCCGCAGATAGCGTGGTGCTCTTTGCAGTCCTAGCTGACTGACAGGCAGATGTTCGTAAGATAACAAGATCCTGAGACCTATGCGTTAGATAAACTCCAGACACCGAAGCTACTGCTCAGATCAGGTGGTAAACAGTGAAACCTCACAGACACATAAAAGGACAGCAAAAAGTAAAGCTTAAAAATCTACTGTAGATTCTCCATGACTCATCATCACCCATGTCCTATGGGACAGAACAAAGACTTCTGGGAAATATTTCTACATAGGACAAAAAAGAGAAATGAGGCCAGATATTGCACTTAAATCCCAAATGGGTCACATAAACTAAGACAAGAAACGGTGTTCATAAACATGAATTTTAATGCACACGGCACAACAGGATTAACAAGATTTAAACTGAACTGCTGATATCCTCAGGGTATGTAATGATGACCTGAAGTCTGTGTTCCTGCATTGCTACTGTTTCTGAATTCAGTCACGAAGAAAAAGAAAAATATCATAGAGAGGCTTTTCTGAAAAGTTATTAAGTTAACACTTAGAAAATCTCAAACTGTATCGACATTATAACAGGATCAAAAGTATATAATGGTACTTACATTTCTGTAGGGAAATGCTGTTTTCATTTCATTACTTGGCAGGGACATTTAACCAAAGTCAATGCTTAAAGTCACTGATCTTGTACAGGGTCTCCCTTCTCACCATATCAGTTGTTGCCCTGAAAAGTTCAAGCTAAATGCAAGAGGTGGCTAAAGCGCCAGACAATTATTCATACACACACTCTTGACAGTTAAATATGTTCAACATTTTCTTCCATGCAGAGCAGTAGCTGTTTTGCAGAAAGTGCTGCTTTTCATCACGCACCCAGAGAGTCAACACAATCTGTAACACTCAAACCCAAAGGCAATTAAAACATTGTTTCAGCCCTCACTGCTACCTGTCTACATCCTTCATTCTGTCTGCTACTGGAAAAGCAACCAGCACAGTAACTACTGAACTTGCATTGGCAATTTGGATCTTCTTAGTAGATCACCACTTAACTACAAGTAAATGATAAGGAGCGACCACTTACCCTCTGGTAGTATACATAAGCAAGTACTCCAGCCACCAGTTCAATCAAGAAGATGAACAGCAGGCAGAAGAAATACTGCAAAAGAGAGGGAGGACAGAGAGAGAAAGGAAGGGAGTAATTCAATAAATTAGACACAAGACTTAAATTCATCCTACATTTCACACATCAGCACAGTTGTCGCCTGTGCCAACTCATCTGAGGAAGTTGCTCACACTTGTGACGGCTCAATAAAAACTTCTATCAACTGTCATTGTGCTGCATCTGTCACTTCTCACACAGATGACACTGTTGCACAAAAAGAGACAACTTGAAAGCTATTTGACAGACTGTAGCATCAGATTTCTCTCCGGCATTTTTAAGGAGCTCTCCAAGCTGCTTGAAACCAGTTCCATTATGTATCATTAACTTCAAAATCTTTCAAAATTCTTGGCAAAAACTAAATTAAAGTGATTTAAATATTAACCATCAACACAGCACAAACATTCATTTGTATTCTTCATAAATACAACCAACAATCAACTAAAACTAGAAATCAATACTTCAGCAGTTAAACACTGGTGGTTCCTATTGTAAGCTTCATCGTCAATAATAAGCACTACTGTACGTAGGGAAATACAGAGCATGGTTATGTAAAGTGTGTATGGAACAGATCGCCTACACATTTAGAGTGCTCTGACGGACTGTTGCAGAATGAGCAGGATTAAAACTGCAGCTTTCCCGGACTAAAATAAAGCAGGCAGGAACTTTTCATTGTTCAGACAATGGTCCATACACCCTACACATAATGCACACACACAAAACTAATTATGCCCACCTGTCGCAGAGCAGGACACAACAGTTTGACAGCTGCACCAGCACTGTTTCAATCAAGACCATTACAGCGGGGCAGATGCTACTACATACCCTGCGCGATGCAAGAAACAAAGCGATGGCACACTACTAGTCAAACAAACAGCTGCAGGGGAGAAATCATCTCACTGAATTAATATTGACAACACTTAAGCAAATGTTCTCTTCTGTTTTGCTGTCATCACAGTTATGTCATGCAGAAACACAGCCTGCTCTGTATCTCTTGGTTACAAGATTTCAAAAAACACTCCAGTCACTGTGTGTCTGCTGCCCACACAAAATGCTACCTTCACTCCTTCTTCACACACAGAAACACACACACACACACACACGCACGCACTGGCATTACTCATTAATCTCCCGAAACTAATCTATAAATAGCCCATCAATACTTGGTATTCAACCAAAATGCACCAGACTCCAAATTATCTACAGATCCACTTCTTAACTCCTGCAAGACCCATTCTCTCTCCTATTGCTCTATCCATCAACAGTAGATAGATAGACCTATAAATAGTCCTGCGGCAGTGAAAGTTCACCTCCAGCCTGCTTCTCTCCCATTGGGACCTGTCTCTGTAAAATAATGAGGACAGTACAGGTCCTGTCATAGAGTCATTTGTCAGCATTCAGTGATAAACCTTAGACCAAGGAGAGCATGGATGATTTCCATGTGATGTTGTTGCATAGTTGTTACATAGTTGAGCAGAGAATGAAATGCAGACCATCTCAGAAAACAAAAAATAAATTTAAATTCTTTGGAAAACATTTTCCTTTTTCTATATTAAGGTAGCGTTCCAAAGTTGCAGTTTGACTGAGGTCCACTGGTGCACCTCTTGTTTCTTAGTACAAAACAGTAGATTCATTTTTTGTCAACAAGCCATTTTCTCATTCATTATTAGAGATAAATGATAACGATAAATGGATAATATGTCATGGTGTAAATTTCAAGTCATATCACCAAATAACAGGGTGATATGATAATTGAGTCCTCAGCCTAGATTGCTCTTGACCAAGGCACAGTTGAGTTGATTAAGTTTCCCTCATACACTCAAATCTCATAGCTTCTCAGTAAAAATGCATCTTCTGGTCACCGTTCAGTTACAGTGCAACTACTTAGTTTCAGTAAGGGGGTTTTAGAAGTAACTGTTTCCTGCATTTAGGCCTTTTCAGAGAAAACTACACTCCTTTGAATGACAAATCTTAAATTGTTACCAATTTAGCAATAAAATTTGTGTGGAAACTAAATTTTTGTAAAGGCATAAAACACTTGAAGATTTTAAATAAGCACTCTTGCACTCTCACCGTGGACAGACAGCTTCTCTGTTCCCGGATGACAGCACAACACCCCAAGAAGCCTGTAACCACCACCAGGCCGCCAGCCAGGATTAGGATGTATGCCGAGACAGCAAAAGTGCTGGACGCCAGCAGACTCAAGTAGTCACTCTTCTCCACTAGTGTCCAGATTCCAACACCCAAAACAGCAGCTCCACCCACCTGGAAGAGAAGTGGAGAAGGAGGGAGGAAGTGGTGGGGTTAGAAAGATCTTAGAATATAACGAAAGAGATACTGTAAAACTGATATGGGTGTAGCAAAAGGTTTCAGAGAAGAAAACAAGATGAAAACACATGATAAAAGGCATAATAAAAGCATAGTGAAAAGGTATGAATCATAAAACAGGGACAGAGGCAATACAGATGACTCAAACAGAGAAAGGAAATACTGTGAAAACACTGAGTGCCATGTCAATTCAGTCTTGAAGAAACACAAAAGACCAAAAAGTATAGGACTTTACAGGTCAGGAAGTGACAACTAGGAAGAGAGTTCAATCCTATTAGATGAGTCACAGATATGAAAAAGCAACAACATGAGAAGACAGTGAAAAGGAGTGAAAAACGAGGGCAGAAAGAAAAGAGAGGCAATAGAAAAGAGAGAAACAGAGAGAAGCAGCCAGGCATAAAGAATAACAGTCATAGGAGCAGTGGGACTCCAGAGGTCGAGCCATGGCATAATGACCACTTCCTGACAAACAATCCTGGATAACAAACCCAGGGTGGCGTCCAGATCTGTTCCTCTCATCTCATCAGGTTCACAGTCAGGCGGATAGGAAATGCCTCAGAAAGTCTGTCCCCTTCATCCTCCCACCCCTTTCCATCAAAAGCAAGATCCTCTTATTCACAACAACAACATGTCCAACCAGGGAGGCACCAATGGATATATATTGGGTCTTGTGGGAGATGACTTTTCCCAAACTATAGCACATTCAGGACTTTCCTTTTATGTTTAACTAGTAAGACTAAGTCCAACTGAATTATAATAAACTGATAATAAAATGGCTGGGGACCATTGTTGCTTGTCATTTCCCATCTCTCTCTAACAAAGCTTTCTGTAATCTCTCTAATAAAGGCATAAAACGACCGACCCATTCAGTCACAGCAGGCTCCTGACTCTGTTTTTTGTGACATGTTAGCTTACATAAAAATGATGTACATAGCAGAATTGATAGTGGGAGAAAAAAAAATCTGATTGTTGCATTCCTGCTATGGTTTAAGAATTTTAGGTAAAAAAATAAGTAGCTATAGTTAGTTATATTAGTTATCCTGCAGGCCAATGAGGAGAGGGACACAATATGTTTCCTCAAGAGATGAGGTTTAAGGTGATGACAGAGCATTAACCCAAGCCTGAAGATAAAGCTTGATCCTTTTTCTCTCTTTACCCTCTCCCACATACAGATCTGTCTCTCTGCTCACAGTCTTCTCTTTAACTCTGCCTCAGACTTTGAAAATGTTTCAAAGTGACCCCAGACACTCTGCACAGTAGCTGTAAGTGCGTACCATTTTAGCAGCAAACTGCAGTATCGTAAAGTGCGGTGCCAGAGAGCAGGTTTGATACACTGTTCCCCATTGTACACTGACAAGCCCTAAATAATCTATGACTCACTTTGGGCCAAGTCCATAGCTCAGCCTTTTCAGTCAGAACTCTCCTTAATCCTCTCCCTGTTTCTGCATGGCTCCATCTCTCTAATGTATCTCTGCCTGCAGTTTTAAAGGAGCATTAAAGCGTTTTTTCCCTGCATCTTTAAGTACAAAATTATCATTTCCATTCACTAACCAGCTCTAATTACGCTTGCTGTATTTATCTCTATTTTAAAAATAGAGATAAGTACAGTAAGTGCACCTCTCAATGCATCTCAATACAGAGGCTGTCAAAAGAGGTTGTTTAATGTTGTTTGAGCAGCAGATTGCAAGTAAGTATGCAACTGCATATATGACAACATGAAATTATTGTAAGGGTTTTTCCTGTAGGGTTTTTGTGAGTGCAAGTTGCTTAAAAAGATGATTTCCTACTTGCTGCTACTTACCCAGAAGAGAAAGTTGAAAACAAAGAGCAGGTACTTTAGACACACCGTCAACCAGTCCTCCTGTTCGTCTTTATAAACAGCTGACATCTTCCTTCCTCCAGTTCACTTCTGTAAGTACAGATTTTTTTTCCTCAATACAAAAAGAGATTATGGGAAATATACATTTTGCAGCAATATATGGGGATTCAAGCTTAAAAAGCTGTTGCAATTGAAAAAAATAGATTTTGTTAACTCAAAATACTGCTCAGTAAAAATCACAAAAAATATTGCTTCAGATGTAACAGAATTTGATACCGCAAGACTGTAGATGAATGACAAGCATCACACTTCTCTGGCTGACCTCAGGTTTCCCCTCAATAGCAAAATGTCATGACACTAGCAGCACAAAACAGTAAATACATTGCAAATGGAACTGTGGATCACATACAAAACTTATAAACCAGCTGGTTACAAAGTAATCTATCAATTTAAAAGAGTGTGTGAAAAACAAATAACTACTTTGTACTGCTTATCTGACCACAAATGAAAAGTCAATATATAGTTAAATTCTTTTCCTTCAGAATGTCCTCAAGTTTTGCCTCTGCAACCCCACATACCATCGTCTTTATCCGAGGGAAAGGAAAATTAAATGGAATAAAAGATTTGCAGCAGGTAACTGCAGCTGTCCAAAATTAGTCAGGCAAAATAAAGTTTTTCATGTCAAGCTCAGCTTATTGTGACTTTTGACAGCTCTACATAAAATGTTTACCAAAGTGATACAGCTGCTTATCAAATGTCAAAATAAAAGCAACATCCCAGCAGTGACACTAAGTCATTTTTGAGCATTTATGGTTTGCATCCTTAACCAAGTCAAATAAGCTACAAAATATAAGACTGCTCAAGTATTCTTCATATTTAACTCCTATCTGCACACAACTCCGATCTGATCACACACTATTGTCAGGTAGCATTCTCAAAAGGCATTTGGGTATGACTGAGAAAACCTGAATCATCATCAATTAAAAGTTAATGTTATATTTCTCTTACTACACTGCAACTTCAAACTTTTAATTTACACTACTTTATAATTGAATCTCCTTCTGCTTTACTTGTATTATCAAGGCGTCCACCGGGGTTCATCTTACTAGTTGTTCATTGATGCAGCATCCAAGTTCTGACTGTTATCTCCTCTTGTTATATCAACAAACCACATCTTTAAATAATTCATACCCCTGAACAGACCATAAACCTCTGAGTCTTAATTGAGCTTGCAGTTTCTGTTCTGTAAATTAAAGGCCATGGGGTGAGAGGCACTTAGTCCCACAACATTGATCTACAGTGTCCTTCAGTGGATAGCACCACAGGAAATGATGCCGCTACTGTGGCTGAGGATTCATATACATGTCTGTAACAGTAAGAATGGATAGTATTTTTCTCTGAGTAAAGGGTTGGATTAATCATTTGCTTGGGAGGAAAGATTTCAGATTAACCAACCACACCTTAAAAAGGGTAGTGGGTTTGCTAAAAAGACTTGCTACACTTAACTCTAGTGGCTTCTTTTCATACACTGAATTTTGGTTTTATTTGCCCAGGATTTTAGATGCTTTCCCTGCCTATACCCAGGTACAATGGAAGTTGTTGTATCTTTCCATAAAGTATCCAAAAGATCCACAGGTACACTGTTTCTTCAAGAAAAGGTAGTTCACATTTTACTGTTCAGAGCATTATGTGGATTATCTAGGGGCCCTGTTGATTTTTGAGTGAGCACCCAAAGGAAACTGCATTGTGCCTGGGTGAAAAGCAGAAACCTCAGACACTTTTAAGACCTTGGCACATAAAAATAAGCTATCTAGACAGAACTAGTTATTTGATTGTTGTAATTTGGGTAAACCATCCCTATAAAGTTATTGTAATAACTACTCCATGCTAGGACCTCGAACCATGCAGATTAACAGTCCTAAAGCATTTTCGACCAGAGAAAACATTGTAGAAGAATTGAAATAAAAAATTGCAGTGTTGCACAGGACTTGACACTAATACATTGTTGGGGTGAATATATGACAGTTACAGGGAAATTCCTGCCCTGGCCTCACCTGATTAAAACATCTGTGACAGTACTCCACACCATTTAAAATATTAATGCGCCAAACAAAAGTCACTACTAGCTAACGTCTGTCACTTAGAAAGCAAACAAGACTTTTAACGAGCTCTCATACTGGCCGGAAATGTCCTGCTGTTTTATAATTAACTGTTTAAATGTAGCCGTTTTAACACTTAATAGCCTAGTTAGCGATTTTACAGCACCTAAGCTAGTAGTTTATTATTCGTAACAAGGCCTCCCACGCTTGTTAAATGACCGTTGCCCGTCCGGATGCGTTGACTAGTAACGTTAATTACCTACTAACGTGGTTTCTTCTAAGAATGATAGGACCTGCCTCGGAAATGTTGGACTTTGACCACTGCAGGTGTGCTTCAGCGTCATAAGAAACGCATACATCAAGGGAAAATGTGTCCCTTACGGTTCAAGACAAACTTTCTTGCCCCCTTATGCAGGACGGGGTGTACGCTCGAGCATCCTGAAAAAAAATCCTTCCACCTGCGACGTTGATGAGCAGAACAAAGTTTAACCGTATTATCTCATTGTTACATCGATAAACTAACGTTTTCGTCTTGTAACCGAGAACATACTCACCAGACCAACGTTTCGTGAGGATGAATAACCTCGTTTTGTTGCTATTCCCGTCAAAGTGCTGAGAGCAAGGCACTGCAGTAAGGAGCGTTTGGTCCAGTCAAGCTTGTTGCTTTCAGGGTGTCCGACAGCACGTTTCTGCGGATGCTGCCTTTGAGTGCAGCCCGTATTTTCGATGTTATTGAACACTCAAATAACAGCCTAACAGAAAGGAATCAAGTCATAGAACCCAAGCAGTATTATGTGCTTCAAATATAACTATTTATATTTTTTTCTTATTAGATGTATTTGCCAAGGAGTAAGTAGGCTGCAAATTAATCTCATTCAAAAAGATTAGATGTTCCAGATTTAGCTACTATCTACTTTCTGTCTGCAATCTCCAGACATATAGATAGATAGAAACACTACAAAATACAATTAATACAAATACAAGTTACAATATATTATTAACTAAAAAAGTACAATGAGTTCCATTTTAATCATTCATCCAACCCATACCCAAATAAACATTTCTAACGGTCCTTGAAGGCAGCACCAGTGTGAACTTGAGCAAAGAGTCACAGTAGGGAGTGACAGAGAAGGAACTGGAGCTGCTACCCTGCTCCACCACCACAGGCTGAATACCACCCTGCTATTGACAGCACAACCTTGGTTACAATGTAACCACATACCCCCTGAAGAATTTTCAGGCTGAGGTGTACGTGAATAAACAGAGATAAAAGACAGAGGGGAAAAGAGCACAGGCTGTAGTGAACAAAGGCTCAAACTTACTGTGTAGCCTTTTTTTGCAAGGCCAGTTTGTACATAAATGAATGTCTATTTATAAATGTAGTAGAGCCCTTATCATTGACTTGGATACATCTCATTATGAATTCCAGTGAAGCCAGTAAGACTAACAATTAATTTTGAAATTGCTCTTCATTATGTAAAGTAGACTACAAAATGACTGAGCAGAGCGTGTATGTGACCCCAGAGGGAAAGATGGTAATTTGGTATTTCAGCAGTGAGCTGATGAACATTGATTTGATTGTCTAGACTTGTTTTGTTTTTGTTTTTTTATGCAAGACGCATTTACTCATCAAGGAAATGCTACCATACACAAAACCCACAAACTTTATACAAGAAATGTGTAAAAGATTATATTAGATTAGATAAAAGTCAACAGGAAATAAGATCACCAAACTTTAATAAAATATAAATGTAGTTCTTGGGGTATCTGTGTATAACCACATCCATGACATAAAAGCCATTAATATCTTCTAAATAAAGTAAGGGAAAGGCCTGGTCCTTGTCTCTCTGATGTTTCACCACCCTGCCCAATGTGACATTTTTTCATCACAGCAAGACGTCCTCTTTGACCAATACAGATTCTTCATTATGTATTTGCCTATTTTTCCACTGCAGTAATTCAATAAGCTTGCAAGCCATTAGGAATAGATGATGGCTGCAGGGGGAGGAACTCTGCAGTGGTCACCTGCACTGACGACAGTCAGTCTACCAAAACAACATTACTTAGCAGAGGATGTCATCCATCAGGTCAAGTTTTCCCCGAATAAACTTCATCCAACCAGAACGTATAAAAAAAAAAAAAAACTACAGTAAATTATCATTAAATGGCTAGGAATTTGGAGCATGACTTTTCCATTTTCTCATATTTGTATAGGTGACACATGATGGAGCAAACATATGTGGTTTCCCCTAAAGCCAGCTAATTTACCCATCCAGTCTCTCTGTGCACAGTTTCATTCTGCTAGTTACTATATTGCCTACCATGCTTTGTACCCCGCTAAGCCCTCTAATGCTTTCTCTCACAAGAGGGTAGGAATAGGGCATGACTGAGCATGCATGTCCAATACAAACTGGTTAAGGAGAAAGTAAATATGGTGTGCAGGGGTGTATAACAAGCGTGAGTGTATCAGTGACAAAGTGAAAAGAGGTCAGTGTGTAAAAATAGTGACAAAAACAACAGAAGGACTTTAAGACCTGCACACTTGCTAATGCAGAGTTATGTATATTTGCCAAGTTTTAACATGTTTGTGAAACTGTGCACAGATAAGTTTAGTGAATGTAATGATAAAAAGAGAAAATTAAAATAATGATCAGATTTTTTTTTTAATTAGCCTAAATGATGAATCAGACTAAATTACACAGGGAAATAATACTATTTTGTTTCCATAGTAAAATCAGTAGTTTTGTACAGACCACAGGTTCAGCTCCTAGTAAAATAGCAACTGAACAAAGTGCCACTCAGCTCCTGCTTGTTGTGCCTGACCTCTTGTGGTCAGACTCACCTGGTAGCCACATGACAGAATGGCCTCTTCAACACCTCAACAGCTCAGTGCTAGTTTGACTAAATAAAGCAGAGATGACAACACAGTAGCCACAATTCTGGTGGATAACAGGTGTAACATCTGAAAAGAGATAACAGACTGCAAGAATCTTATCAAATTCTATATTTAGCAGGTGGAGTCTGACTTTTCTGAGCTAAGACTTGAACGGGTGTGTGCACCAGACACTAACTATGCCTTCACAGACCACAACATCTCAGCCCTGCTTTTTAGCACTTTGGGCCAGACAGAAATATCCCAACATCTGTGGACTGTCATGAAATTTTGTACAGACATTCGTTTTTCCCAGAGAACAAATCCTAATGCCTGTAAGGATTTCCTCTGACACCACGATGAGGTTCACGTTTGTTGTTTTGAATGAAAAATCTCAGCAACAGTTAGATGCATTGCCATAAAACTTGCTAGAGGCATTTCTGTCTCTCTCAGGATGAGTTGTAATAATTTTATGATCCCTTACTTTTCATCGTGCACAATCACTAGGTGAAAATTTTATCCATCCAATACTTGGGTTTATCTCCAAATACCTGAAAAACTATACAACATAACTCATCATCATCACCTGTCGGCCTACTTTGTGTTTGGTGCTGATTAGCGGTTGTTAGCATGCTAACACGGTAAATGACGATAGTGTATGTGGTAAATATATCTGCTAATATAAGCATTAACATTGTCATTGTCAACATGTTAGCATGCTAATGTTTGCATTTAGCATCACTTGCTGTGCCATGAACAGTTCCAGTCAGAGCTGGCTGCTAGATACTTTTTTGTCAAACTCTTCCTTTCATCTCATGAAATAACATGAAAGTTGAGAGAAAATATTCATGGTCCTTTCAGATAAATTACAAAAAAAAAAATCAATATACAGTATCAAGACTAATTGTAGGATATGTATCAATTAGTTGTAGGCTAAAATAGTAATTGTGGATGATTTTTGGCAAGAATAAAACATAAATGTGTATCTTTAATTTTACAAATAACAACACTCTTGCCAGATATGGGACCACATTATCATTCAATCAAGAGAAAGGACATTATGAAATAAATAATCATATGAATAAATTATTCTTGTGAAAATTTTGAAGAAATCATTACAACAACTTCTGGTGAAATGGTATTTCATCGTTCATTTTCATAGTAACTAAATTTTATTGGATATTTATTCTAAAAGGTATTTTTTCAAAGTCTGAGGAAATAAAACAGAACTCCAATAATTATGAAAATATGATGGAGCAAATATGATCTCATAATAATGATCTGAGTTTTGATAATTTCTCAAATAATTCCATAAAGTATTGTTTTATTTATAGATTTTACAAGATTATTTTTTGTTTCATATTGAGCACATTGGGGGCGCCACAGTGAATGGAATCGAAAGAGTTAACTTTACCAGGAAGCATATAATAAAGGAACGGTAGGGGCGGGGCTCTTAGCGACGTCAACGTGCTTAAACGAAACTGAATGTGGAAACTCTCGAACAATTTGTTTGTCCGTTTTAAGCATCCGCTTTTAAAACGTGCAACTTTACAGGTAAATTCAATTCTTCCTTTTTCCATTTCCTTTGTGTGTTTCTTGCTACACGTGTTAAAGTAAAGTAAAAATATAACACATTATCCAGCCCATTGAGTTTAATTATATGAGTCGTTAAAATTGTATTTCTGCTTGGTTCTTGTCCAGATATGGCGGCTGCCAGCAATCTGTTGTCAGAGGAGAGGTTCCTGTGTTCTATCTGTCTGGATGTGTTTACTGAGCCAGTCTCAACGCCGTGTGGACACAACTTTTGCCGTGCATGTATCCACAAGTACTGGGACAACAGTGACACTCACCTGTGTCCATTGTGCAAAAGGACATTTTCCACAAGACCTAAACTCCAAGTCAACACTATGGTGTCGGAGTTAGCAGGTGAGTTTAAGAAGTTAGTTCAAGTCAAAGCCTCATCTCCAGACCCACAACTTGCAGTAGACGTTCTTTGTGATATCTGCTCTGAGATAAAGGAGAAGGCAGTGAAATCTTGCCTGATGTGCCTTACTTCTTTCTGTGAAAGGCACCTTGAGCCACATCAGAGAGTTGCTGGTCTCAAGAGCCACACATTGTTAGACCCATTGAGGAATCTTGATGATAAGATGTGCAAGACACACAACAAGATAACAGAACTGTACTGTAGGGATGACCAGACCTGTATTTGTGTCTTGTGTCTCAGAACCGATCACAAGAGTCACTATGTTGTCCCACTCGAGGAAGAATATGAAATGGTGATGACAAAAAAAGATGAGGCAATGGCAAATATCCAAAAGCTGATCCAATCCCGGTCTGAGAGGATAGCTGAGATTGAAAACTCACTGAATGCCTGCCAGATAGAAACTGACAAGGAGAAAGAAGCCAGCATGCAGGTGTTCACTGACTTGATACGCTCCATTCAAAGAAGCCATGCCGAGCTTGATGAGGTGATTGAGGAGAGGCACAGAGAAACAAAGCAAAAAGCTGAAGCTTTTCTCAAAGAACTGAGGATGGAAATGACTGAACTCAAAAGCAGAAGTAGCCAGCTGGAGCTGCTGTCACAGTCTGAGGATCACCATCATTTTCTCCAGAGTTTCCCAACCTTGACCTCACCTTTAAACAAGGACTGCACCAACATTGGACTTCAGTATGACCTGTCTTTTGAGGCAGTGAGAGGAGCTGTGGCTCTGCTGAAACAAAGAGTTGATGAAATCATGGAAAAGCTTCCTGAGATCAAAATGAAAAGAATGAGAGAACATGCAGTGGACTTGACTCTTGACCCTGACACAGCACATTGCTCACTTGTCATGAGTCAAGATGGAAAACAGGTCGCAGATGAAGACACCAAACTGGAACTTCCCGACAATCCAAAGAGATTTAAAAAGTTTCCAGAGGTTTTGGCAAAGGAGGGATTCACAACTGGGAAGTTTTACTTTGAGGTGCAGGTGAAAGGAAAGACTAATTGGATTGTTGGAGTGGTCAAGGAGTCTGTAGATAGAACGGGAGACGCGAAGCTGTCAGTTAAAGATGGTTTTTTGACCTTTAGGTTGAATGAGGGCAAATATAGAGCATCTCAAAACACTGCTACAATCACACTGAAAGAAAAGCTTCAGAAGGTGGGCATCTTTGTGGACTATAATGAGGGAGTGGTTTCTTTCTATGATGTAGATTCTAAATCACATGTGTATTCTTTCACTGGCTGCCATTTCACAGAGAAACTTTATCCATACTTCTTCCCTGGGAATAATGACAGTGGAAGAAACTCTGCCCCTCTCATTATAACACCTGTACCTCAACCATACTAGTTTTGTTCTTTTTGGTCCTCCTTTAGGGTTCACAGGGAAATTAAAATTGGTCTCCATTACTACACTCAAAATCTGTCCTTAAAGTATTAACAGCAACCGCCAAACGTTACATGACATTGGCCTGTTTAATATGGAAAAATATTGTCTGATATATGCATGGATATTCAAAAGAAATGATATTACATCATCAGTTCTGTTATGTTAGATGTGAAGTAATGATACTAGTGTTGTACAATAGTATTGTGTCATCCTGTCAAATTACAATGGATAACGTTATCAATGTCATAAGATAATGTAGCTTTAATTTGTCAAGGTATTTTGTTGCTTGTGTGTTGTTGAATTATATGCACATTTTAATTGTTGAAATATTTACTTGTAATTCACAGTGGTGTGGAGTGAAGAGCAGTTGTGCATTTGACAACTGGGGCTGAATAAACTACACATCCAGATTGATTTTGTTGTGTTTAATCCTACCTAGAAGCTTGGTCACAATATTAACCTTGTGGCATCTGAAAACTTCTTGAATGTAAAATGTGGTTATAATTCATGAAAATGCAACAGTATGAGTTGGAGGACAATTTAAAGGCAGTCCAGTACCGCCATAGAAACACGAGTCCTGGCTCCTAGCAGTTTTTAACTATTTAGATTTACAACGGAATTCAACAGAATTGTTTCTCACATCTTTGTCATGGTATCAGCATTGTCAGTCAATAGTAGTCTGCCCACTTCTTTTACTCCCGACTCCTGCCTATGTGCTTCTGCCCCCACACTGATTTCTGTGTGTGTGTTTGTGCGCTCATGAGTGGATGCACACATTATCCTTGAGTGTGATGCGTGGGCCGATGTTCTTAAGCACTGCTGATGGAGCTCATCCATAACTGACTAAAACCTGGTGTGTTTCATTGTGTTTTGTCTTTCATTAATGGGACACAAGCCCTTTTTTTTTTTTTCTTTAGTGACAAATATCTTGTCTTATTTGATCAAAGTAGGTTACTACCAAATAATTTGATATAGTATGAAATGAGTGATTGAGTCAGTAATGAAAGAGATGCAGACATCAACAGTACACTCAGTAAACACTAAAGTATGGTAATCAGACATCCTGAAGTAGGAGATATTTTGACATAGTTTTTTCCAAGACGAAGGCAATGGAAAAATGCAGTGCGAATATAAATGCATTATATTGTGAATTTAAACTGAATAATAACATACATCTGAATATTTTCTTAGAAAATATGTTCCTCAATTAGATGAGTACATTCCAACAAAAAGCTTCCATTGTGTATTACGTTTGAGGCATACCTTTTTCCATTAGTGATATCACTTTCTCCTCTGTCTCCAACTACCAAATAGATGAGGGTCAGCTGTGTTAGCTGATAGGAAATGGAAATGGAAATAGAATGTTGTTGATGTCAAATTTGAGTGAATGTGCTCTGCATGCTGCTCTCATGCAAGCATGTTGTACTTGCAGCCACACCACAATCAGACTTAAGCAGCAAATGAAACCTGTTGTGACTTCACTGACTGGGATGAAGTAAGACGGCAACATGCTTGAAACAAGTTTTTTTTTTTTTGATGATAGGTAAAAGTGCAAATTATTAAGGATATATGGCCCCTGTGACTGTTATTATATTACCTTATTGTTTCATTAATATGTAAATGGTATCTTAATGTTGTAGCTGGTGGAAGAGGAGCTATCACTACTCCATATGCTGTTGCGTAGTTTAGGACAAAACAAAGCATCCAATCTTATTAGTAAATACAGCTGTTACATAAATGCAGTGAAGTAAAAAGTGCAATATTGCAGTTGAAATGTAGAATAGTGGAAGTATAAGTAGCCAAATGTGTAAATACTCAAATTAAGTATACCTACCTACCTACCTACATACCCACCTACCCACTTAGGAAATTGGTCCTAGATTCTGATAGTCTGATATGCATTCTAAGCAGCTCAAAAATAGCTGTTGTACAAACTAAACCAAAAGCGTTACATTTAATTTAGTATCTAATCTATCACCGGAAATCGTCAAAAATTGCCTATAGCTAGTTTTGGCCGTAGTTCAATAAAGTATATCACCAACATTAACGTATAGTTGCTTTGTGCCCCCCCCCCAACACACGAAACACCTGCGTTATGTAAGCTAGCGGCTAAGAAGCTCACAGGTTGGCGGAGAGCCTGGGTTTCTGCTTTTGTGGGAATGTCTAGTGTGAGAGGCATCTGTCTTTGGGAAGCAGAGATTTCTTTTTGTTAAGGTTATTCTAATATTTTTGTCACAATTTATTTCATGTCATTGCAGGGGCGGTCGTGTGAAATGGCATTGCATACTCACAGTTTGAACACCGTTTAACTTTCTCTCATGGAAACCCCATCGGGATTACGCAAAGGACTTTCCGTAGCGCAAGCGAAGATAGGAATTGTGCGAGTACCCGATGCTGAGTGTTGTCAAGTGTTCCTAAACGGTGCAGTAGACGAGAAGAAGCATTTTCTAGTGTGGAGTTTTGTTTCCAGCGCGCAACTGGGTGCATTTTTTTTTAGTCGTGGGTGACACTACACATCATTTTCTTTAACACCATTGATTTAAAATGTGCGAGCAAGTAGGGTTTCAATGTCTTACACGAGGACACCGAAACGGAGCGCGCGGCTGTTAATGGATACACTGACTCCTGCTGGGATCAAACCTGCAACCTTTCAGTCGCAACACGGTCTCTCCAGCCAATAGACTGCTCTGCCATCCATGAGTCCTCCCACTAAGACAACCTGTATCACATTTACAGTATGGATTACTGGACGTTTCGCCTCGCGCAAATCCATTTAACAACTTTTCTGAGGGAATTAATTTAATTTGATGAAACTGTGATACCTACACGCGTTTCATATTATGACTTTCCTCCTTACATGTACTCAAGCCATACATCTGGTGGCTTAGTGTTATTTTTTCACACGTTTCTGTTAAGAAGAAGAACCCTCCGTACACTTAGAAGAGTTGTAGCCTAAATCTCGTCGGCTCTCATGGGACTGAGGCATTCGTCGCGTTGTTTGCTGCTACGGCGGAAGATGGCGGAGGCGGACAGCTCGGAGGTAGGGACCTTGTGGTGTCCTGCACCCGGTAACAGCGGGACCGGGCCACTGTCAGTCTTCTTATTTTTATGGTGACAACACATTGCACTTTAATATTATTTATATTTGCGTTATAATGATGCCAGCCACATTTAGAATCAACGTTGTACTGATGGTGTGCACACAAAGCGAAGTACATACCCGTGTCCTGCAGATGTTACGGGTGATCTATGCAGACTAGTATAACAGCAATAATAGTGATAATGCATGCAGAAGATGTGCAGTTATGTTAAATGAACAGTTTAGGATGCATGGACATATTGAACGTGGTCATGTCCGCTGTCCCTGGTGCTGAAACGGACCTGCATCTTTTGCCGGCTCTTCCTTTAGTACATCACCGCTATAGCAAGTCTCCCCCCTGTGTAATTACAAAGGCTAATTGCTTTTATGGATTCTTGACTGCTTATTTTATGGTTCCCTTTTCACTTGCATTTAATCCTGCTCGCTGTAAGCCCCATATTAACGGGAACAAGGTCCACTCACTCACACCCACTCCACTCACTTGTAATTTCCTCCCATGAAACACAGTCTTTCTTAACTCATTCTTTTCGGTTTCATTGTTGTCTGTAATTTCTTAATTCTGATACAAACTCTACCCTTATACTTTCTTTTTCCTCCGTAACAGCGGCAACAGCCTGTCACGTCCTCCCTCTCTCAGTCTGCCCAGCCCTCCCCACTGCCTAAACCAGTGCCTACTACCCACCATGTGCCCTGCGTCCCCCATACGCCTCATGTAGCAGCCTTGTCCACCTGTCCTGGTCGAGGCAAGATTGCCAAGTTCATCAGCCCGGAGGAAATGACATCACGGGACTACTACTTCGACTCTTATGCTCACTTTGGCATCCATGAGGTAAGCAGACCAAGCTGACAAGTGGCAGCTTGGTATGATTAGAGTAAAAAATGACACCAGATGCTTCCTGTTCTGTTTAACCTGATGTTCCTTAACTTTGCCAAGGTTAGTCTGGCAGCAGGATATGTGAAAAACTTCATCTGATTTAACAGGGACAGATTTCCATGAACAGACAGGTTTTGATTTTGGTAGTGTTCCAAATCTTCTACTGGCATAGATGATATTTTACCCATAACTGAGAAGCTAATGCCTACAGATATTTGATTCCAAATCTTGAGTTCACTGGATCTGAAAATCAGTTTGTAAAGTAAGAGTACACAAGCCAAGTTAAAGCCCAAGCAAGTTCAAAAAAACAACAAAACAATCATCCAGGAGAAGCAAAAAATAAAAGCTATGAGGAGTTGTCAGTCCTCCAGTGCTTTCGAATCTCCTGTCCAAACATGGGTTTTAAAAAAGCATGAAATCAAACACCTTCAAAAACATAACTCAAACATCTCCCAGAAGTTTAAAGTACCTCTCATTTAATTTAAATTTGAATATAAAAATCTATCCAAATTATTCCCTCAAATTAAAAACAACCCCAAACATAAACCACAGAGGCAGCTGTCTGCTTATGAACAACCAAACATTACGTTTTAGGAGTGATATCTTGTGGGGAAACATAAAGCTGCTGAATTATCTGCACTGGTGGAGAGTGTCTCCCAGCTGACAAAAGAGGAGGCTTATTCATTACCAACTAGCACTATGCACTTCAGATGTACTGCAACAGTCTTCACAGTGCTCCATAAATGAAAGCAAGCTGTGTCTGTCTTTTACAGTCATCTATAGTCAGCTGCTAAATAAAATTGTAGAGCTATAATCCAGCTAATGACCTTGATCTGCGAAGGGTTGATGGTGGAAAAGTTTGGGGACATATAGACCTTTTTAAATAGAGTCCATATTTAGCATGTGGGTCAGGTTTTTGTCTGCTTGCAGACAAAGAGAGTGCCCTGATTAGAGGAGTGCAAAGCAAGAAAGAAGTAAAAGTGGGATGTGTGAATGGGCTCAGGGAGATGGATATCAGGCGGTCCCCAAAGGCTTCAAAGGCTTTGCGTTGTACTCCTGTCTATTTCAAGAAGCTCTGTCACTGTCACAGAGGCTTTTGGCCTAAATACTGCGTTTTCTAGCTCATTATATATGACAAAAATGTGTGTACATGTTGAGGGAACCATGCAACTGCCCACTTCTTGCATAATCTATACACATTTGTATGTTTATGATGTAACATTATGTGTATTATGTGTATTCTTTGGGTAGCACTGAAATCTCAATTTTGCCTCCATTACTGAACAGGAGATGCTGAAAGACGAGGTGCGGACGCTGACCTACCGGAACGCGATGTACCACAACAAGCATGTGTTCAAGGATAAAATTGTCCTGGATGTCGGTAGTGGAACGGGGATCCTCTCTATGTTTGCAGCCAATGCCGGTGCCA